CTTTTTCCCCCTTTTTTTTTTTTTTATTGTCGTCTTGCTAGTCTTAAGCACCTTGCCGCGTGCGTTCCCAAGATACCTTTAGCTTTTTTGTTGTCGCCCGCAATCAAAAGTTACAGAGGGCCAACTGCATCGGGCTCCAGGACCAATACCACTGTAGCCAAAAAAACAAATTACAGTAGGTAGACTACAGCAGTGGGGTGGAACGCCCACATAACGAAGAAACGAACAACATCCACGCATGTAAGGTACATGTCTACAGTAGACTAGGCTGTAAACCCTTGGCGTTTTGAAATTGAGCATTTCCATGAGTAGATCTAATGTGACAAGCGTACACAAACCAACATCGTGTTGGGTGGAGTAGGGAGAACTGGTACTTCCTGTGTTACTTTATTTGTAGAAACACATCTGACTTTGGTCTCGCGTATATAGTTTCGATCAGTCCTCCGTCCCTGTTCCTACGTCGAAATCCTTGACGCAAATCCTTCTAGGTCAAGATTACCAGCTGTGGCCGTGCTTGCTTGAGCCTATCAACCGCATTTCCACCACAATTCGACAAATCTCGAAGATCAACGTGCTTCAAATGCGAACAGTACATGCTGAGTACATCAAGGGTGCGTTCAGTAAGACGACTACACCGTTTGAGGTTAAGACTGCGCAAGCCTGCAAATTCAATCGCAATCACTTCCATTCCATCGTCTGATACCTTGCTGCAGTGTGAAATGTCCAACTCTTCCACCCACAGAAAGTCTGCAAGGTAACACAGAGTTTTGTCCGTCAGGTGTTTGCACTGGGCAAAGACAACTTCCTGCAATCTAGTACACATCGACACAAGCGTCAAGACACCCTCATCTGTAAGCTGCACACACCCAGCGAGATTGATGTGTAGAAGTTTCGTAGCAGACGCCACCAAACGTGCCACTCCTTTGTCGGTGATGTTCAGGCAATACCCTAGATTCAGCGACGTAAGAGAGGCTCCTCTCCTTGACCCTGAAACTGGGTCTTGAACAATATATGCGCAAGCCGTGTCGGTGAGGTTGCAGCACCCCGCCAAATTAAGGGTTTGAATTTGACAGGCGCGCTTCATTATGTGATCCACTGCTGTGTCCGTGAGCTTGTTGCAGTCGTGAAGGTTGATGTCGGTGACGCTCGTGAGCATGTTCGCCTCCACAGCTCTCCTTCCATCAACTGAAAAATCGAACACGAACGCGCTGTCCATAAGGTTGTACATGTCCTCCAAGCACAGGTACTCCATGTCCCAGCAATTTCGCGTGACGCTGCTTGCTCCCTCTTCGGTCACCCGGTTCAAGGCTTTCAGGTTGAGGCGCCGTAGCTTCCGGCAGAGCTGCCCCAACGCTACGATGCTGTAATCAGACAACAACACACACCCACTCAGGTCCAAGGACGTGAGGGTTTCGTGGTTTACTTCCACCGCAAGCGTCTGTACCCCGACATCTGTAACAAAAGAACAATACTGGAGGTACAGCGTTCCTAGCCTCCGGCAGCACCTGGCCAATTGACCGAGTACGTCATCCGTGACGTTGGCGTTGTGGCTGAGGTCGACAGTTTTCAGGCCCTGGCAGATATAAGGAATACGAGCTAGGGCGAGCGAGCCGATGCCTGGACACCTACTCAGACCGAGAACGGCCAGCCCTCCGTTGCGCCGCATGATTCGTTCGAGATGCTTGTCCGTAATAAGCTGGCACCCCGATACAGTGAAAGCTTGAAGGTGCACAAGGACTTTGGCGACGTGCTCCATACTCTCGTCGGTGACCCTAGGACCGGATTGACACATTGGGGCTGTCAGAAAAAAATCAACGATGACAGCGCAAAGATACGGCAGAGCCTGGGCGACAGCGGCAGCAACCCCTCAAGCGTCAAGGTGTCGGTTCAATTCTGGCTGAAACGATATTTGATACAACTACTGCTAGAACAAGCGCAAGCCCGATAAAAAAAAATGTTGAAAATAATTACTGATTTCAGTCGACGGATTATTCTATCTATTATTCGCTTAGTATTAAATTTACACGGTGGCGGCGAGAGTTCATTGGTTGTTTTTTTTAACAGGGGACGTGTGACGCGGAGCGGCTCTATTCCGCCGCTAAAAACAAGCACCCACCGAATAGACACGCGTTTGGCTCTTACACCGATGCATGTGATGTTGACAGTTTCCATGCAATAGAATTTGAAACCCCGCACTCTGACACTCCGCACCTGGGAAAACTTGCTACGGAATGGATGAGCTTTTTTCGTGTCGCATTGGCGGTCTTCAAGAAGTCGTTGTGGATCACGGTTGTGTGTGCAATACAGGTGGTGAGTGGTGAAGAGTTATGTACTCACTACAGCATTACGCCATCTCACCACTTGCAGCCCGTCAAATTCAGAACTACCGCGAGCCGGCGGTTGTTGATGAGTGCCTTCACGTCGGTTTCTTGCACATTGGAGCAATCCAAGTGATACTTCTCGAGATCGACAATTCGTTCGTCGTCATCTGATTCCGCCTGTAAGACTGTCGCGACCTGAGCAGGCGCAAAAATGCGTTTGAAAAGATGGTTCACTCACTCGCTGTGGTTTGTGATGCCTACACGCACGTTATTCCGCATGACTCGATTGTAATTCTACGCCGCTGGAGTGCTATATTCGAAACTTCCATTCCCTCTCTTATCATTCATGAAAGATGCGTTCGAAACTGGCTGCTCGTCGTCCACACGCACCACAGTGGGAGCTGACTTGATCACAGGTAGCCATGAAAGGTCCACTTGCCCGAAACTATCGGCCAGGCTGAGGTCTGAGAGCACTAGGCGGTACACCGCCGCAGCTACCTCGATCTGACAAACCAAGGACAAACAGACACGGCGGTGGGGGGAGAGAGTACAGAGCTTGTCAGGAGAGACACGCGAAAATCCGAGTACAGCCACCAACTCCGTGGCGTTGAATCCGCACCGCTCCGCCTGCCCACGCAAGATCGAGCCTTTTTAAATCCAGGATACACACATGGACAATGGCATTTTTCTGGAGTATGGAAGACCAGAAACATTGCTCGCCTTTCTCTTGGTAATATAGTGCTGAATGACTTCGAAGCTCACCATGATCTCGTCAGCACCCGCAATATCCAGGTAAAACTTTTTCGGCATGTGCGCCAGATTCTTCAACGGCATGTGTAGTGACGAAGCGAAGTAGCCCGGAACTGAAGCCACCGTGGCAAGGAAGGCTTGGCAGAAAGAACCTGCGTACAGCGGAGCTATATATGCACCCACCCACCCGACGGGTACGGGAGGATCCGGCATGCACCAAGTACCGAGAAACATGAAGCAAGCACAGAAAATATGACACTTTATGCATATGCTGAAGCAACGTACGTATGCCTTCAGTCGACCTTTTCTTAGGGTTTTCTTTCCCTGCTGTTGTAGGGTACAAGCTACCCCAAGAACATCTGCATTCCGGCCACGTATAAAATTGTTGTACGTTCGCCGGCAAATATGTGTCACCCTGCACTTGGCAAGCGCTTATTGAATCTTCACTACCCCAGAAACATTCTCAGAAGAATGCACGGTTCGGGTGCTCACTGTCGCCGAAAAAAATGGAAGGAAGTCCCTCGGCAAACAACAGCGAATGATCGACATACCTGAAGGTAGCCGGCTGAATATGACGGCAAGCCCATCCCAATTCTCCATCCGCACAAACATATCCACTGCTTCCTCCACCATGCGTTGGCTTCGCCGTGGATTTTTGCTCTGGGGCACGCCAGAATTACGATACGTCGTCAAAACCAATACATATGCCATAGAGTACGGTCGCCCCGGCGGTCTAGTGGGTAACTTCGCAGCCTGCTAAGGGCTAGGTCATGGGTTCGAGTCCCGGCAGAGTGAGTTTTTTTCTTACTAAATAAATCCTGGTCTAGGATGAAAGCGACGCGCTGCAAAGCTCGTTGTTAGTAAAAACCATAATCGACTTCGTAAGTCGTGAGGGAAGGGATTGCTGTACCCTTCTCGCGATAAAAATACCTCAGGCATGAACCGCAGGAGGGGGTCCAGCCCCCCCCTCCTATGTGACCCCGGTCGGGTCGTCTAGCTAGTAGAATTGGAGGATATAGGGGCCAGAGGGGCAGACGACAGAGTCCAATGATGGGAGAAAAAAAAATAGAGAGAGAGAGAGGCAAGGTAAGGCAAGTCCAGATTGGTTGATGCGGGGTTTCAGAAAATACCATATGACGGTCAAGAGCGGACATGATGTATCCTGTCCTTCTTCCCTGTGTTCTGTAGGCATGCACACGATTCGATAAAGTTGGTATGGCGGACGTTGTAGGAAAGAAATCATTCACTCACGTGCACCAAATGAACACACGCCGAACAAATACACGTCCAGTTGTATCACCTGCATTGACTCCAGCTCAAGATAGTTTATCACGCTTTGGGCGTAGCGTGATATGATCTCGATGTCATCAGGAGCAACGGCCAGGGCTGCTTGGAACTTGACACCGGCTAGCATGTAGAGACGGTCACTCTCTCTCGCGGTCGCTTGAACGCCGGCGAAATGATGGGCTCTAACCGTGTCGACGGGCAACGCCGACAGGTACACGGCCACGTGGCATAGATCCCCGCTGAAGAAATTTCGTCCGGTCTTCGATCGTTTACATCGGCACATCGCCCCCACTCGTAACGGCTTTTCGGCACGTCCGCATATCTCTTCGAGTTCCTGTGCAACTAAATCTTGGAGATCGTCACGCTTACGTTTATACTTTTCAGCGACCTGTAGCACATCACGAAGAGCACCGAAGTCAGATTGAATACGTGGCTACGTGGCCAATGTACCACGCACGACAACCAAAGGCGTGGGTGCGTACCAATATAGCACCGACCGCGTTCACACCTCCTTGTGTCCGTTGTGTGGCTAGTCTTCACCTTCTGGACGTTTCGCATGTACATCTCAGTCTTGAAGTCTAGCCGGGCCTGCGCCTTTGCGTCCGCCTTCGACAGTTTTACCACGCCTTTCTTGGCGGCATCGCGGTCCATCTGCGACGCGAGAGTCGCCTTTTCACGAAGCTTATTCGCGGCACGTGTTAACTGGGCCTCTCCTTCGCGAGTTTTGCAGTACGCGTCAAGCTCCCTCTCTGTCACAGCCTGTTAGTCATTTACAGCGGAACCCAAACGTGAGGAATCGAAATGAGATCAATGCTTGCATGAAGCCGATACCTCTAGCTAGTTTTTGCAGCATAGGGTCACGGAGAGTCAACGCCCTGCAGCTCACTTTGCATCGTTCACGAGCCCGGTTTTCCTCCTCCTGTATAGCTGCCAAAGCCCTGTCCTGCTCAGCTTTCTTCTCTGATCTCACGCGTTCCACGGCCACATGAACTTCCATCTGGCGAATTTCGGGGCGACAACGATGTTTGCAGTCTTCGTCAATGTACGCCTTCGCAACAGGAAGCCGCAACACTACGTGAATGGGCCACTCCCACGACAAAGTCACGTGTGAAAAGATGAACCGGCCACGCCTACCACCTGATCTTGACTAGAATCTGTCAAGGTACATAGATTTTCGGAACTTCACGAAGACGTTTCGACCAAACTTTTAATGTATAACTAAATGTTCTCGTCACACATAAACAGCCAGTACCTCTAGCAATTGTTGGGCCGCACAATCAAGTATGGAATCAACGAATGCGCATTCCTGCCACATCTTTGGCGAACATCTGCCAAAGAATCCAATCGGAGAAGTAGAAGTGTCAGCAATCCATCACAACAACTCGCTCTCTTACCCTCAGACTCAGACCACTGGTTTGATGCACGCAACCTTTGTGGGAGCTAGCATTCATTTGCCACAGAACCCTGCAACTAGGAGATGAAATACCTGGGCCACGAGTTCGGCGTTGACGTACATGCGCACGATAACTCCGTCGTAGATGACAACCAGGTGTACCCACTACAACGGACACGGCACAAGCGGGAGTGGGCATTATATTTGTGAGTAGGCGTATGTATCGTTTTGACGGCGGTAGGGGGCGGACAAGAGCTTTGATAAAATCTCTAGACATCTTGAACAATTTGCAAAACCAGACTCTGCATACAATGCAGTCAGTAAACCCGTTGGCCTACTCCAACCTGGCGATATGTAAAGGTTTGTTACTCGCCCACCTCTCCATGCACGACCTTTGGCCCAAGAACATAGAGTTCAGAGCCGTCTTCTGTGCAAATTGATGCGGCCCAGCAGTTATCTCTTGTAGCCAAAAGAGAGTACCTGTGGATAGCAGTACAGGTGAGAAACCATTGGCAGAGCAGAAAGTTGACCACCGTTCGGGGGCGTTCGTTTTGGCAGCGTGGCTCAAACAGCGTTGGATCGTCGATTGTAAGCCTACGTCGGACCCACCTGCCAGTCATGAGAACGTAGCGAGTGGTATCTAGACCTCCTTCGCACTTCGCCCAGCTCTCCACGCTGAACGATAGATGTGACTGCATAGGCGCAAGGCGCCTTCCGGTGTTTTTGGTGTCAATGCGACAATGCGCCGCTGGCTGCAGCTGCACGGCTCTGTTCAGAGGGTCATTTGCGATTGGTCCTGGCCGCTCGAATTTGATGGGACCAACATAATATCCGCTAAGGGCTATGCCTCCCTGGCCGTGGTTGACAGCCACCCTCGAGCCCTTGCGCTCCTGCAGGTTGTGTGAAACAGGGGCGTGAGATTAGGACGGTAAATAGGGAAACACACACCTCTCGCAAAAATTGAATAGTGGCAGCTGAGGGTGCCATGATTGCATGCCAAAATTTGTACCTCTACTGTAGTTTACAGCAACTGTTGGGGCCAGCGTTTAAGTGGGGCACATCAAGTCTACCTCGAGAGTCAAATACAGCTCCGGTTGAGCCCTTTGCACCAGCTGCACATAGTCGGTAGCCCGAGCCTTGTTTGCCCGTAGCACGAGCATAGAAGCTTCCGCTACCTCTTTCATCGGCGCGTTGTGCTTGATTCTGCGTCGCGTCACGACAGCGTATCGCAGCAGAACAGGGTGTGCACGTTCCTGTGAGTGATGGTAAAACTTCACATCGTTTCAACGCTACATGGCATACACCACACCGAAACGACCCCACCAGATCTGACTCTTGGCAAGCATTGCACAGTTGCACTTGCACATGTCTTCTGGTACAGGAGAACACAGCCAACGATAAACATTACGAACTGTCGCCCTCTCTGCACGTACATACCTCATGGGCGCGTTAGTTATGTCAAGGTTGGTGAACTTGAACCCGCATGGACGACTGTAGAAATGATTTGAACAGGCGGTCGACAAGGCGAACCCCAGCATTTCCTGCTTATTTAATATGGAGTATGGACGGTACGAGCACATCGTTGATGAGCGTTCGAGTCAGTATCTGGAGCACACATAACATCGGGGCCGCAACACGACGATTAAGGGGATGAAAGAGCGGCAGTGGAAGCTTCTTGACCGTCCAACGTTCTAGAAGCAGCGGCCGTCTCGCTATTTTCCAGTCCCATTCTCTAACGAAAAGTTGCTTCGACAAACTCGCGTGTGGAGGGATAGGGCGGCAAGAAGTACCAGGTATAGGATCTCGCCCACGGTATGGACTTACCTGAAGGCGTTGGATGATGTAGACAATACATGGCTGGAGAAGGAGCCGAATATTACCCTCCTCAGCGTGGTCAACCGCCAATTCGCCGTATCTACTTCGAATGCTTGGCAGGAGTCGCTCGCTCCAGAAATGTTGTGATCGGTGATGACTGCCAGAGACGATGTTCATGGACTCGACCGTGAGCAACACCTATTTTAGCGCGCGAAATAAGTGCACAGGACGTTCAGCAGTTGTGCTCAACACCCTAGAAATGAGTATGTTGGCGGAGCAGGAGAAACTATTGATTGCCATGAAGTGACCCGGTCGGATGACATACAATACCTGCGTTTGATGCGCCGTGGTGTGACTCTGCGCCGCCGATGTCCGCAGCAGTTGCCGGAGCATATTTTTCGTCGCCCTCGCCGCCATTTCAGCCAGCAGCAGACGGCGAATCTCCAAGGAATTCCTGTCCGAGCCAACCTTACCTTTGTAGATGGAGACGTTGTTACGACTCATCATTTCCACCTATGCACAAAAAACACGTGGACCCGAAGCTCGTCTGAGGTTCACGAATGGAGTCCCTACTATTCTCCTCGCGTCACGATTTCGTTTGTTACATAGCAACTGCAAACTTACGCACGTTGGCATACCTTCCGGTCAAGGGTGATGCACGATGCCGAGTACTCGTGCCTAGGCTTGACGCTAACGGTGAAAACGCTACCATCGATGCGAACCTGCAAGCACCGGTAGCGTCACAAACCACAAGGACAAACAGGATTCAGGGAGATAGGAGTGAGCGCTGGTTGTGCTATGCATACAAGTCCGTCGGGACAGGGCTTGGGCCTGACGAATCATTTGGGCTCTTGCAGAGAGTGCGATTCACAAGCAAATATTGGACGTTTACGTTCAGACGCATCGCTGACCTGGTCCCCCCTCCCCAGTTGCAGCCTCATGTCTGTTTTGGTACGGATGCGGTTTGAGTTAAACGACAGGTCAACGCTTCCATGTAGAGGCCTCCATAACATATCGCGAAGAAGGCCCATATGGCGAACCCCGATGCCCCTGCGGTGCATATCGGCCGTGATGTTGAAGCCGTAGCCAAAAGCCCCCTCAGCACTCCCAATGTCTTTCCGACTCAACTCCTCGGCAAAGCTGGGCAGAACCTGCAAATAGACCCATCAATCCACGGCACAAACGGTACAAACAGCAGGAGTGTGTGTTCCTGAACAGGCCTTCGGGATTGCTTGGAAAAAAGAAAGGAGAACAGTACAAACATTGAAACGTCGGCCTGGCAGCCAGAGCGCACGCTTTTAATGCATTTAGGATCTTCGCGCCATATCCGTACACGAGGCGATGCACACAAGCAAATATTTTTAGAGTGCACTAAGCCATTCTAGCCGTCACAAACTCCCCCGGCAAAACGCGACGAGGATATAGCCATAATTGGTTCCACGCGGGGGCCGCTACCGATGCTCTGGGCACAAGGGAGAGACGTATTCAAGTGCCAGGCAGCTCTTATCCTCGGGCACACCTCATTCACAAGTCGCCTTGTCGCCTCGAGTACATCATCCCTTTGCTGACGCCAGTCGGGCGCGTCACGCGTCACCAATAGGTTCGCATCTGGACTAAGTGGGACCGGATTTGACCGTACTAGTTCAGGCCGAAGCCCTCTCCACATTATACTTTGCCCACGCGCGGATGGTTTCAGATGAGGTGTGCCTGTAGGGTCTTCCGCTGGGAAAGCTCGCCAAAAGTTGAGCAGGTAAAATGTACTCTTGTCTTTCCGGTATCCCCTGAGGTCAGCTGTCGCCCACAGTGCTGTGCTGTTCAGCTCTCGCACGCCCTTGTTTCGAGGTGCAAGAGTGTAAACAGTGAAATCGCACGTAGCGAGCGTGGCTGTGAACATGTTTCTTCGAAGTATTGTTTTCTGAACACCAGCAAATTACGGGTTCGCCTCAGGGGTGTTTACATTTACTCATCTACAAGATGTGGACGCGCGCATCTGGCGAATGGAACGCACAGGCTCGTGCTCTCACTCGAGTTGCCCGTACCTTCACCAGATGGAAGCTCAGGTTAAGTTTCTCTGCCACTGCTTGAAGCTTCGAATTCAACACTCGATTTTCATTGCGAATTGTATCTCCTGCATCAGCAGTGCCATGGACCATGTCTTCATGCGCCCGCCGAAGCTTCCCGGAGCTGGTGAATATCGGTGTATTGATCGGAACCTTAGCAACGGCCAGAACCCGAAAGCCATGGTAGTCCACTGTGCACGTCAGAGGAATATTCAAGCCTGCCAGTTCCACAACCACGAATGACAAGGGGCGCAGTCTGATCTTTGACGGTAATGCACCAAACAAAGAAAGACCTTGTGTTCGTGACACGCGCCAGGAGGGTATGTTGGAGGCGGAATCGAGTGTTCCGCAGCGTTCGTTGTGTTGCATCGGGATGGTCTCGAACGCTATTAATACAAAGATGAGTCCAACGTTGGTCTCGCCTGGTTCGTGTTGTTTCATATATTCCAGAGCGCCCAATAGTCCCCTTCCTCCGTATCCTTTGGCTGCACACTCGTCGTCTCCGTTGAACAAACCGTGGTCGTCGCAGCAAACCTTGAGTCGAATGTTGAACGCTTCATACTTATACCGCTTTCCACCGTGACCTCTGTTACCTTCCACACCCCGCCCGTTGCAAGCACTTTCCATCACGGGACGAATAGTTTTGTCGACCAGTTCAACGTGGCCCTCGTCGATTATCGTTGTCGCAAGGTGCTTTGCCACCTCCAAGAAGTCGTTGCAAACATTGGCAACTTCCAGGTACTTGATCTGTTGGCGATGTGACACAAAAATAATTGGCATTCCCGGCGTTAGCAGCTGCTCAGTGTACGGCCTGGACAAGGATAATGGGTTACAATTTTGTGCGCTACAGTAGGCCTCTCGCAAGGTACGAGCATGTTCATTGAGCGACCGACGTGCGAACATACCAATGGTGTGTGATGAGAAAGGAATGCAATGGTGCACACAGCATACAAGGTGCGGCCTGAGCGAGGCCCGTGCGACATGAGTGATTCATGAACCAAGTTAACTGAGCCGGACCTCTAGTGCTTCTTCCGAGGTTTCGTCTGCTGACATGGCTGCAGTGTAGCGTCTTGTCCAGTCATAGCGGTGGGCCTCTCGTATCTGGGCGGTATAGGGGAGTCCACCCGCTCTATGCTTGAGAGCTCGATCGCTAGTTTCCCTCCGACGAATTTCGGCAAGCTCCTGCTCTGCAGCATCGATTCGGCTCCTGCACTTCACGATCATTGCTTGAGCTTCCGTTATCGACTGCGAACAAACGTGTGGAGGTGGAGCTGTTACTTTTGGTTCACTCTAGGGGCTTGGAGGGGGGTCCTTAAAACCTTGTTTTGGTGGCATACATTCATTTACATGTTGTTCAACTGACCCCATGTTAGTGGTATGCTTGCCTGCATTCTTCTCTTGACTTCTTTGAGCATGTTGCGGTTGTGGGTTTGCTCCACCTCCTCAATGGACCTGCCCTGCAATTTTGCTGCGGTGAAACGCCGCTCGTAGCCTGCCTCTGCTTCAGACATTCCATCGGCAACCTGCACACACGTTGGGAGTGATAGCTTGAACCGTAACCCGTTAAAAATATTTTGTGATGATAGGGGGGACACACACCTTGACAGATGATTGTAGTGAGAGCAATTTCTGCCAAGTGCAAAGGAGGCTAGAAGTATTTTCACATCCCGAAGGATAGCTATTTCACCAACCCAAACGATCCGATTTATAGTGTTCACCTCGATTTGCGCCATCTTTGCGAGTAACGCATCTTGATTGCCTCGCAAAACATCTAGGCTGTCCGCCGTTAACCCGAAAGAAAAATCGGTGCGTATCAGGTTCACCAGGATCGTCCCTATTTGTTTGGCGTTCCGGGATATCTGGAAGTGCCCGGCGAGGTCGTCAAAAAGCGGCTGGGCGCCAGGCCAACATCGGGAGAAACGAGCCATGTCAGATGTGCTGCCTTCACGCATCAAGATTGGAGCTATCGTCAAAGCGATGCCTGTTTGCTATTGATAAGACGTTCGACTCGAACATCCCGTCAGAAAGTTGCCGACTGACTTAATGAAACCGGCACCTGAAACCAGCCCATCATTGACGAGCTGTGGACAGAGGACGCGCCGCCGGTAGGGTCTATGAGCGGCGACAGAAAAGCGCTGGTTCATACATGAATCCACGCACTGCACCTGGAAGTTGCCCGGAGGATCTGCGCGGTCGACGAATCCTTGAGCATACTGCATGAGCAAACGCTTCGTAGGCAACTCAGCGAGGAGGCCATCTACTTTGACTTGAGTCATCGCGGCATCCCAGCTCCTGAGACGCCGTGCTAGGTCCTCAACGGCGGGATCAGCATCCGCCAGCTTTTCCCTACCGAGAAACAGAGATGTCATCATCGTGCGACATAACACCAAGTAAACGGGACATGTCTCTACCCCAGATAGAAAATCTCATCAACCAAGTCACGACAACGTTGTTGCTACTCGCAACAAGTTACTAAGGGGAACGAGAAGGTACCTTAGGCGCATCTCCTCGAAGGTCTCGCCTACTCCATATAATTCTGGAGGAAACGCCCCCACGACCATCAGCTGCTTGCGGACCTCCGTCAGCTTTATCTTTACCATCTGTCCGTTCACCCTAACAATGACCGAGTCCAGCTCGAACCCTTGTCTGACAGAAGGGGAGCCGCCGACGGATGACAGCGCGCCGTCGGCCATCGGGGCATTGGTTTTCTGTGGGAGCTGACCACCTCCACTGAAAGGATCGTTAACGGACCCATTCGCCAGGATTGACATTTTCGCGGCTGACTCGACGTCAACCGCACCGCTTCCTTCCTTTCCTTCCTTTCGTGGAGTTTGGGGCCGGCCAAGATCTGTGACGGAATTGGCTCCGTTCCCCCAAAGTTGACCTGCCATGTCGCGCAAATCTGCCTGTAGACCCAGTGTGTCATGAGAAAGTCAAAGAATGAGTTCAAAACGCTGTTGGTTTTGCTGTGGTCACCGTCCTCTGAACATCCAGTTCATTCCATTTTGACCTCTATCGCGATACCTCGTTTCCCACCCACACTCCTCGAGGTAAAGGTACGACTCTCCATGACAAACTACAGTAATCCAAAAGGTGAAACGAACCAGCACCAGGGCCTGTCTGGCCACTCGTGAAATATGAAAGGTTCAGAAACAAAAATAAAAGCCCAGCAAGAGTAAAACCAGGGCCGGGCAAACGTAGAGAGAGGTGAACCCCCCGGAGCATGTTCGGTACATCGCTCCACCTCGGAAGCTGAGAGAAGAAAAGTGGGAGCACAAGTGGACCCGCAGAAGCTACCCTCGCCCCGCTTATAAGCTGGGGAATAGTCGCTGTCGTCGTTATTTTCCCACCGATAGGCCTATTCCCACCACACCCCGGAGGTGTGGGACCTGCTGTACAGACCAAATCAATGGCTCACACGATGTAGGACGCTGCATCCTAGACAGTGCATCTACGCGCGCGCCCCCACACGGGGGGTCTCTTTGTCGGGTGAAGCACCAGTTAGGCAAACAGCAACCTCCATGAAACGCAGATATTGAAGTGTGGGGGTGGTCAGGCAGCACGGCCTGCTTGCTGTAGGTTGATGAGCATCTTCACCACATTATCAATTGATTGTGGGGTCGACGGTGTTTGAAATTGTTCGATGTGAAAATATGCTGCGGCAGTCTCCCTCCCCGCCATGGTCAAGGGTGCATGAACACCAGCAGGACACTGGATTCTCGACAGTCAACTAACCCAACCTTAGTAATCGTCCAACCGATTCATCAATGGCCACGAAAAGTCGTGTCCACGCTAGCTAGCTTGTCCTCTGCTTAAGCAGCGCTGAAGACATGAGATTCAATGGAGAGGCGTTACGTTGAGCAGGAATTCTCACCATGAGCAGGCGAGTGACCAGCTCCTTGCAGGCACCCTTGGTGCGTACCGACACTTGCCGTGAAGCAGTCGCCAACGAAAAAAAGTCGTCTTCGCCATCAGTTTCTGATGTTTGCTCTGCGGTGTGTTCTGCAGCGACAAGCGGTTTGTTTTGGGAACAAATCCAGCGGAATATTACCGGCGGAAACACTAACACTGACTATCTATCGAGACAGCAGTGCCTTCGGGAATCCCACCAGTGCTCGCGCAGTCTTCTGCAGTATAGCGCGTCTACGGGTGCAAACACATCCTGTGCTGAGAAACCAAGGGCAAAACGGCCCATTACACTGTCTCGGAAATCGATCTCACCGATAACGTCCTCATCAAATCCACGATTCCGTGCGATCTCGTCGAAACGTTCCATAACTCCGTCTTGCGCTGCTTGGACGCTTTCCTTGACTATTGCTTCGACCACTTGTTGGCGGTCCACGTTCTCCCCTGCCGCTCGAAGCTTGGCTTGTTTCATGCGTACCTTGGCATCCCATTTAAGTCGCCCGACACCCGATGCCGCTTCTCGCTACGTTGCATACAGTTCATTCACCAGGGAGGGCGAGATTGAGGACGGCAACGATAAAAAAACAAGAAATGGGTAGAATATAGGGGGGGGGGGGGTACTCATAGCTGTGCATGCCGTAGCCGTTAGACCATTGACCTCGCATCCCAACAAAGCCGGGACGGAGCACGCCGGGTTCTCACCGGACCAGGCTCATACAGGAAGATGATCAAATGGTGCAGGATTACCGTGAGATTTACCTTCCAAATTTCGGCCGCGATGCGTTGGCGAGTATCTTCTACCGCCATCGCTCGGGCGCAAAGAAAGGCTTGCTTCTTGGCCATCGTCTCTGCTGCTTGTCTCGCTAGCTTCCCACGGAACAAGTTCTGTATCTTGGTGACCGCTTTGATTCGAACGGTGTCTCGCCAGTGGGAGAGGTTCTCAAGGTGCCCGTGGCGAAGGGAAACCGCATTCGAGAATGACCTCTTCTGATCTGAATGCAAAAAGCGCGAGTAGTCCGGTTTCAGGGGATCGTCATCGCCCATGGCCAATGCACGATCGTGCACAACTTGAACGTTTTCCTTTTGCAGGCATGGTCGATGCTTTATCAGCTTGCGCGCCACCTGCAGAAAGAGGTAACAGTTGGCGGGATTGATAGGGTCAATGACTCTGGTGTAGAAAACAACAACATATTTACACGTGGGAACCTCACGTCACACATGGACGGGGATAGCTGGGTTCGGAGCACGAGGAGAGCTTCAAACACTAATGAGCACCGACACCCCACTACGATGGGCTTTGGTTGATCCCTCACCTTGTGCTTTAGGTCTATCATGCTTATCATGCTGAGCTCGAACTCGTGCACCATGCTCATACTGCATCGCATTACGGTGCTCATTTGCCCGAAACTCCAACTCGACCCGAAAATGTCGGACAGTTTCGGTGAACGTGCGATTATCCCTGCCATCCAGGCTTTCACCTGTAGGGCGAGTGTACACGTCCAAGTCTGGTCATACACTTCACATGCACCGTCAGTGTGTAACCGGAAAACCAACAGGGTGCCACATGCAGTCAAGAGGAAGGAGCACACGAAGAAGGGCACCCAACCACGACCTCTAGGAGGACGTACTCATCTATCTCTGCCTGAAACCAGTCCATCACCTCGTAGTTGGTCATGCCCTTCCGATGGTCCAGGTTTCTCTCCAGAAAAGCTCTGGTCACGATCGATTCCAGCTCTTCCCGGGATGTTGTTTCCCTCAGCAGCTTGAGGCTGTTCAAAACACTGGCTAATGTAGCTAGCATTACACAGATCTCTTCGTAGTCCATGAACTGAGCAGAAGCGGGCCAATGAGAGAAATTGGAAGTAGAGATGAAACAAAGGCGATGACGGTATCAGATGACCAAATGGTCGATGTGAGGTGGATGGTGATGCTGCACAACACACCCGTTGGACCCTCGAAACTGAGAGGTAGGCCTTGCTTCAAAGCGCCCCGCTCGTATCGGCACGAGAAAAGGGGACACACATAATACGTTACGTAAAGAATTCATCTTCAAGCATGGATATTATGCCTGACCTTGCTATCATTGATGTCGAAGAGGTGAGTGATGAACGTCAGCTTTTCCCACATGGTGTCGTTTGAGGCCACCGTAAGACCGCAGAAAACATTCAAGAATGGAGCACGGAAATCGCCTTCTGCCGCCCGTTGCGCAAGAGGCTCGTACAGCGGTAGCACTAGATCTTCCTGAGAGCGCATTCGCTCGGCTCGGTTGAGCATGAACTCGGCCTGTCGCCGGAGCAGCAACAGCAATTGCGTATTGTTATTGAAGTATTGCACAGGCGAATACTTCCTGACCGCCAAAAGCAAAGCGATGTTCCACTCACCTCTTGCAGTTGTTCCAGAAGTGAGTCCAACTCCTTTTCGCTGGCAGTCGCTCTACCCTCCAGCAGTATGAGGCTAGTCTCCACGACTTGCCGTGCTCTGGCTTCATTTTTTTTCCCACGAAGATTCTGCGCAAGCCAGCGAACAAAGACATCAGTGGAGAGGCACTCAATTCTGAACAGCTCGTTTGCCTTGAGTGTCTTCGAAAGTACAAGTCAGTTCAGTGCACCACGGATAAGGACCCCCAGAAAACAAGAGAGGGAAAATCCTTGCCGACAGATTGCTAAAATAGTCGCACAGAGGGTCCGCGTGGGGTCTGGCCGCAGCGGTTCCTAGACAACACTGGTACTGATCTGTTTCATCACCTGTGCCGCAAGCAACTCATCTTGGGCCAGTTTCACGGCCTCATTCGCCGCGTCAATCTCTCCAACCAAACGCTCGACTTCTCCTCGAGCCAGAGCCTCGAGCTACATGACCAATTCCGAAAATTAAAGGGAGAAAATGATTGTGAGCACCTCAATAAATGAAGTTATACGTTGCACGATGTAGGTGCAGAGTGTGGCCAGTCTAGATCATGATACTCGTTTGTGCTAAAGTGACCGCGATGTCCTGCAGAAGCAAGTACCCAAGAGTATCCCTTTTGCTAGGCTTTCTACCTCTACTGCGCCATGCATAGCCAAGTTGAGTCCATTGATTGTGTTTAATGGTGTCCTTACCACTCCGGCATGTAAAACGTGTGCCAATGTTGATAGGTTTCTGGCACACACTCGGATTGGCGGTCGATTGAAAGCTGGCAAACTGAATACGAAAGCGAGACTTTCATTCACCTTTGAGCTGAACTGTATCAGCGTCAGTGCTGTGCAGGAAAAATAACATCGTAGAGCAGCAAGTAGCCGAGAATAAGCGCCAAGGCCAGTTCACACACGGCGATCATAAATCACTCGGCCACCTAAATGAACGACGAAAAAGTGATCTTTGTTTCTGCGGGCATCAAAGTCTAACCTGCGCTCCCTTCGGAATCTTTGACGTCTCTGTCTTTTCGGCGTATTTGGCGGCGTTGGCTGCATGCTGGATGTTCTTGGAGTCTTCCCTATTCAGGAAAGCAAACCTGTCACGGCAACGTAAGCAGCACGAGACGGAACGGACATATTGGATGCCGTCCATTGTGGAAACTCACCGTAAGTGCAGGCCAAACATTGCTGTGATCTCCTTCTAGCTGAAAGCATCCTCGATATTCGAAACGCAGTTGAAGCAAAACAACGCCTTCTTACTTGTACTTTCGTTCCGCGAGCTCTGACTCATGCGCCTTCGTTATTGATGCCTCGTCGATGTTCCACTGCTTCAGCACAGGGCCGTATTCCTCGGCTGCCATCACCTTGACAGCAGTATCATCGCAATCATACACCCACACAAGAGGCCGTGCACAGTTCATATTGTCAAACAAACAAGACTTCGAGGTAACTAGTACCGCTTGCTCCTTCCTGGCGTTGGGAACACGGAGACCCTTGTCGCACCGAAACTAAAGACACTATTTGAACGAGGTCCTCATGGCAGTCGCTATGTGTTTTGATAGTCATGTACAGACGGTAACATGGCCATCACCTTTTTCGCCGTCTGTAGCTCCGTGATCCGCTTCTGTCGCCCTCGTTCGAACTCCGCTTCCATAGTCACTACCTGTACACAGGAAACTGGGGAGTGTCTCCGTGTGCTTCTCATTGATATGTGAAAGAAAGGATATCGTGATGTAAGGAAGGACGAGCACTCGAACACTTACTTGATCAGCAAGGTGGCAGAAAGTGCATCCAGAACACCCAACCAGAATAAATCACAAACAATTGTAGACGTCGACCTGCAAGAACTTCACCGTTCTTTCACGAGCTTCTCTCCTTTTCGATGCTGCCTCCCTTTTTCGAGCAAGCTGCCGGTTTCGCCCGACCCTTTGCTTTTCAATGACGCGAGCTTCCTCTCGGTCAAGCGATGCTCGTTCCTGCCATACAGCAGTGGTGCAGTACAGGCACACAGTTTTCTCATTTCCCAGCATAACTATCGTGTGCGCTGAAAGCAACATCCGAACACACACTCGTTGATGTCAGGCACACACACCATTTCTAACCCATTCCGCTAGCTACCCGACAGCTCGTTGATTTGTCCAGATGTCACTGCTGTGTCACAGCCCGGCTTAGCGCACGATGCACGAGAGACAATGGTCGCGTTCTCGAGTGCGCATGTGCGGCACAAGAGCACGTCCCGAGCAGGCATTGTTTATCCACACCAGTCTAACGTAGCTACGCGCTACCTTCTTACCTTTGCGTTTTCTGCATCCACATCTGCTTCTGTTGTGGACATATACCCGAAGAAAACCGGACTGACCACGGCAGCATCGGATCCAAAGGTGAGCCCTGTATCGTGCTGTGAAGTTGCGCCACCCAGGTTCCTGAACGACCAAGACAGCGTAGGCAAGTGTCACACATCACGGCAGCAGATTCCAGGGTATCCATTGAGCTATATGCTTCTCCTGGGCATTCGATCGGGAAGGCTTTGTACAAGTCCGCTAGCACGGGGTGCGCGGCGCCCCACTTGTTTTTGTTAATATTGTTGTTGTCTTTACATTAAAAACCGTCCCGTTCTCTCTACCCAGTACCTTCTTCTGTCCGTACTTACCTAACACTTGATGCGGCCGACTCCCGTGGTCACAGGCTAACATACCCAAAAAAGGCACTTGTACGTCTCGCTTACACCATGTGTCACGCCTACGTCTCAAGGGATAACCTGCATGCCAAACAGAGTACCGGGAGAGTAATCTTGCCTAGTTGCCCGGCATGCCGTTGGTTCGTTCCCCGGTGCTCTGCCTGAGTTTCCGTCGCCGGACATACCCCGGGCCTGGCCCAACTCCTCGTCACTGGCTTCATCATCCGTATAACCAGGGATACTTGCCCCAGCATTCACTTCTTCGGAGGATGATGGATTGAGTTGAACTGTCGCCAATGAGTCATGTTTAACCATTGCGTATCCTCTGGCAGCAACGTGCCACTGCCGCTTTTCCCTGTCATGTGTTTGTCATGGTGGAAAGAGAAATGTGGATATTTTGTGTCTGAACACCAGGTTGGAGCAACACAATCCACCGTCTCCGGGTTCTGCGCAGTTTTTGTTCTTCTTGATTGCTTCTGTAAGGAGTTGAACTGCTTCTTGTAGGGAGCTTGCCGGCTGTTTCTTGTGGAGAAATATAACCTGGGAGGCAAACATTATGGCTGGAAGGAATGACATCTCACGATACTAATTCGCAAAACTCCTTCGGTTCAACACTTTATCTATGTAAATATTCAGGGTACGTTTCTTGAGAGGGTACTGTAATCGTGTACCATGGATTTTTTTAGTAAGAGGCGTCACAAGCGACCTACAGGTGATCATGTCACTAAGAGGCACTATGCCCATTTATCGCCACAAATATAGCTGCTGAGGCGTGAGGTCACACATCCAGCAGGGGTATCAAAACAAGAGCTCATCACTCATTCGCATCACAACTTATTGGGCTGCTACCGGGCTTGCCTCTATGTACGGTCGAAGTGTGAATGAATGTCACTGAGCGCAAGGTCATACACGTACCTCAGCATACATGCTGAAACAAGGGCACTTTGCTCCAATTTCAATGCATACGAGCTCCAAGTAAGAGTGCTGTATACATATGTGTAATTTTTCTTTTTGGTTCCGTGAGATTCGCTGGGCTGTTCGAGTCCAAAAACACGTCAGCTGTGTGAGTTGTTGAGCTTGAGAAATGTCTCACCGCAGCTACCAGCTGTGTGGTGGTCCGCTCCCTGCTGTTGTTACCATCTTGCGTCTCCCCTTGATTGCACTGAGCTCTCATGAGCCGACTCCGGAGGGATCACATTTTTAAACTTACAGTGTCTCGATGGTAATGAAAAAGTAGTGATTCTCCTTTGCAACATCCTTACTGCTCCGCTTGGCGCTCGCTTGCCGTGTGACAGATCGAGTTGATCAGAGAGGGGCATGAGGGAGTCCATGGCCACAAATGTTTGGCCAGTCGCCTGGGATCATGCACATCACCTCAGCATGCGTTCAAAAAATGGGCGCTGTGTCCCTCTATGTGTTCTATTCACTTCAAAATCAACCGAATCGTGCTATTGTTTTTCTGCAGTACCTCTTTGTGGTGAGCGATCTCCGCGCAACAAGTTGGAACCTCGTTTCAGAGACAGGCATGAGGCTGATCGTCGCCTGAAAACAACGGCCAATGCCGTAAGGTTACACATGCTCCTCAGCAGGCAGCCAAGAAAATAACATACCTGTATCCTCCCGTACTGGCCATGTACGCGCCTGGAACGCCGACCGAAGTGTAACGAAAGTATGGACAGAACCTCAGCTGTGGTCTGTCCAGTGGACGGATCACAGCTGACGTTGTTCTGCATTCGCCTTAACATCTAAACCACAAGCGGAGGTTGCTTACTCTACGGGATCTGAACGGGACTTCCCGTGTGTGTATGCATATCCCTAATGAATAGCAAGTCGTTTTGCTTCCTTCTCTTGGGAAAAATGTATAGAAAGAAATGGCGTGCAAAGAGCACTTCTCGTTTACGCCTTCGCAAGTGTGGGAATTCTTCGAGTCTTTCATTCCATTTCACCTTACTCCGGATTATTTATTGTTGTTTGTTTAGCTGAGATCACGAACGTTCGTTTATTTGCTTTGAAGGCTCTGGAGAGGAGGCACTGGAAAAATTTAAGACAACAACGAAAGTACTACAACACCAATCGCGCTGGGTTGAAACTCATGAGGTTATGTTGGTGATCAAGCGAATCACTAGTGCATACCTTATCAGAGAGTAGCAGCAGGGTTCATACATCCACAGGCATACGTTGATCGGCTGGGCAGCTAGATATCAGAAAGCTCGCTCACCTCGTGGAATGTTCTCTTTCTTCTTCAGCATCGAGGACGGCGCGAAAAAGCTCGTGCCATTCTAGCTGTACCTCTGCCAAGTCGATCTGTCCATCGGCGTGTTCGCCGCGCGTCTGCGTGACAAGATAATGAAAAACTACAAGTAATTAAATATGGTAGATTGAGGGACATCAACTACAGAGGTTGCCTCTGACACATGCGTTCACCAACGGAGCGTTGCACGTCGAAATCACTCACCGCCGAGGCTCCGCCAGGCATCGAATCACTCGAATCGTCGCTCGGTCTGATACGAGTGCGGAAGCGATCCAGCACAACTTCAACATCCTCGGTCCGCCAATTCCTGCGAAACATATGTAGTGCCATTTGGATCCGCTATTCGTTACTTAATCTATTTGCAATCAAAGCAAATGAGTAGATGATACATCTGAACGTCTTGCCGGTGGGATTCGTCGTGCTCTGCACCCTGGAAGCAAACCGTACCGCAATGCTTGCAGCATCAGCCTTCATAATTCTCATCAAAATTGTCAGATGTACAGTATATTAACAATTACACATTTGTGTTGGCTGGTCGTCAGCAGTGGAGGCTGTTCGGGTGTTGTTTTCCCTTCTGTTTCCTGGCGGCTGTTCGACTTGGAGAGTCTTTCATATTAAATGAAGCAGCTGTAACATTCTTTTATTTCTTTCTAGCACAGCAGCAGCGGGTAGAACAGGGAAGGACACCTTGCTTGGTCACAGGTCTCCGTATGACAGCAGTTTGAAAACGCACACACGTCTGTACTCCTGGTTGCGCACTGTGGAGGAACACAATGAAAACGCCCGCCCGCGAGAAAGGTCTGAACCGCTCTTAGTGAAGCGGGTAGGCCATTCAAGTACTGTAGCCATCTAACGGGTGGGACGCCGTTTTGGCTCGAAGCGCGGCTGATTGATGGTGCGAGGTTAGCTGTCTGTCGGTCGGTCACATTGGCCCTCTCTTCAACTCAGAACAACACCCGCCGCCTGTTTGTTGGTTTTCTCTTTTCTACTGCTGTCATCGATTCCCACGTTTGTGCCGCTGTACTGCTGCTGCTGTTTTATTCTGCTGCTCGGTTCGGGTCTTAGCTGCTCATATTGCACTATTACACCTCCTCCCTGGCTCTCACTTTTCGTGGTGCACAGGCAAACAAACGCTGTGGTACATACTGTAGCTAACGAGCACCAACGACCCGCAGCAGCACAGCTTGCACAAAGTCGGAACGTTGGACCGAACATAGAGAACGACGTTGAATAAACTTAGAAACAATAGTGACGACAAAATACTGTAGTTCTGCACTCAGGTCGCTGCGGACGTGTGTTCGTTTCGACAGACATATTTATTTCTGTTCACGACCGGTCCATTTGAATTCGTTTCCCCCCCGTCGTGGTTGGTGCACAGCAGTACTTACATGCGTGTTATGTATGTACTGCGTGATAATTTGGTTGTGTCTGGTTACGTGTATCCATCATTTTGAATGTTTGAAAACACACACACGCGCGCGCGCGCTGCGCCTGTCTGTGGATTCATTCGTTCCGTCCCACCTCCACAAGAAATCCATCCACATCCATGTCGCCTCTTCTCTGCTTCGGGATGTGAGACACACACCATGATGCTGCGGTCACTGCCCTACAACATACTGTTTGCATGCTAAACGCGCCAATACAACGCTTCTCCGCCCGCCTGTGGCGAGGGTGTGTGTGTCTCTATTATCAGCATCGGCCGCGCTAACCGGCTGACCAATGAAAGGACGTCAGTCTTAGTGCGGTTGAACACACAAAACACTTTAATCGGCCATGAACTGGGACCCCGTGAGGGGGCAGCATGGGGGAGGTTAAACTATCCTTCGGATCAAAGACAGAAACGGTGGCAAGAGAAGAAAACTGCACATGTCTACCAAGGCTATTGCTTCCTTGTCCTTGAGTTCGTTTAGGAGTACTTTCACCACTGTCCTCCTTGTTGTCGCTACCATCATTCTGATCCTCATTTTGTCAACAATCTCTTGGCAGTTCTTCCCTAACCCTGCGTCTTTTGTTTTGGGGAAGGTCATCTGGCTCAAACCCTTTGCTCTCTTCCACTTCTCCATGTTTTCCTCCTCCATCGTCGTCTTCGTCCTCCTTTCTTCCCTTTCCCTTTCCTTCGTCTCCGTCACTCCCAAAAGAATTACCCTCACTACTATCGTTGTCGCAGAGGTCCCAACCGATTGGCCCTGGTGGAAGTTGGTCGATCAGTAGCCCGTGACGTTTGAACACATCGCGAGGTCGCATCGACAGAAAACGAGCTAAATAGCTCGAAGGTAGACCGTCTCCGAATCCTGCTAATAGTGTGAAAAGCTTTTGAACTAGGGCTCGATCGTCGTCAAAATTCCCCCGGCAAAAAGCTTCGTGCGCCAAGTGGTTGGCGATAGCAACGATTAGTCGATTGGTGCCTTTGCCAAGACCACCATACGTTGAAGAAGCAGCGGTAAGGAGGGTAG